TGTATCCGGTTCGGGCTGGGCCCGGCCGGGCCCCATGGGCGAAAGCCCGGCCACCAGGCGCTCGCTCACGGGCCCCAACCCCAGGCCTGGCTCCAGGGTGGGACCCCGGTAACCCTCCGGGCCGGGTACTCCGACTCTTCGTTTTAACCGCCATGAAAGATACTTTTTGCAAGTTTAGAAAAGAAGCAGATGAGACAGCATGTCTGATTATTTAGTTTTTCATCTGATAATATTAGAACATGTCAGTAATGTCTGAGGGGCTTTTATAAACACCGTATAACTAATACTCCTGGAGAGGGTATGAATTACACAGAGGCTTCTGGGGAGCCCAGTTATGGGGGGGGGGGGGGGGGGGGCGGGGTATATTTTGCCTTGGCCCCCAAAATGTCTTGAAACGGCCCTGGGTGTGTGACTGAGTTTTGAAGGTGATCTGAATTGTATCAGATGTATAAATATGACGTGTGTAACTTATTGTTTTATACAGGTAGAAACGTGTAGTGGAGATAAATCTACCAACATTTTACTTTTCAACACTTTGTTTTGTTTTCTTGTTTTTATTTAACTATTTTCCTGTCCTGTCTGTCTCTCATCTTCCTGCATCTCCTCTTAATTCTCCAGAAAATCTGTCGCCTGGATTCTTACCTTTTCACCTCATCAGTTACTTTTGAGCAGATCATCTTCTGACCGCAAAGCGCAGAGTGCATTTCGATGCTGCGTGAGGTGACATCACCACAGCACAGGTGATGAGCTCCGCAGTAGCAAGCTTCAGGCACAAATAAGACAGAAAATAGAGAACATGTGCAGACAAGAACGATCGTGTGCTAATTATAGTTTTTTGGTTGCGCCACTTTGAGAATGGACCGTGTGCTGGAAGCAGCTGCCTGGATCGGTGCGCAACAATGCGGAACCGGTTCGCAGCAGCACAAAGTCTGCAGGCTCTCCCTCGCGCTGATCTGCCGGTACCGGCATTCCCTCTTGCTGATCTGCCGGCTCTCCCTCGCGCTGATCTGCGGCTCTCCCTCGCGCTGATCTGACTTGCTCTGGTCTGCGCACAACGGCGGGCGGGAAGGGGGGGGGCGCGCTTTTGGAAGAGTTGTGCGACACAACGAATCGATGACGCAATTCGTTGCCAACGCTTTTAGTAATCCATTTTCATCGAATTTATCGATTCGTTGTTGCAGCCCTACTTTGCTGGTATCGCTTTTCCTCCACAGCACCTAGATTACCACAGAGTGTCAGTAAAATGTGTTCAGACTGTGGTGTGCGTGCGTACATTTAACAAAGCCTTGAATCAGAATTTTTTATTTTGTTGAGGAATGTAATTAATCGAACCATTGGATGATTTGTGTCGGACATAGTTGGATTCAAGATCGAGACAGGAAAATACATGTGTGAAACTAAAAACGGCTATGGGGTGTTTTTCCATGCTTAACTCACTGCCAGCCGTTTCCTGATCACAAAAGCCCTTCGCTGTCAGCATTTTCAATGAGTCACAGAACGTTGCGCGCTAGGATGATGTCAACACCAAAACTAACAAATCAAAGAGTAGACTCACCTCTTACATCAGGAAGAATCTGAGCATTTTGAGCCTTATCCGTTCTTTCATAATCCGTTGTTGAATTGTGATCGGCAGAAGCTTTTCCGGTTCGCGCCTCACCTTTTTTACAGCAGCGACCCAAAACGATCTCCTAACACATGGATTTTCTGCTTCTGTGCTTCGTGTGACGTATGCGGATGAAGATCGGTTTTAGAGCTGACATGTATGTTCTCACGGTGCGGAGGCTCGTTCCGATGCCCACACAGTAAAAAAATGCAAATGACGGCTTTAGTCGTCAATGGCAGTGAATGAGTTAAATAACAATATAGCATGGTCAAAGGCTCCAAAAAGTAGACTTTGCATGATATGGTCCCTTTAACTCACCAGTGCTAAGTGCTAATTTTCTAACACATCTTCCACATTGAACTTTTAAAATCAAAAATTATTTTAACCGGTTAATAGTTAATGGTCTGGAACACTGAAAATATTATTTCTGATTATAATCAGTCACTCTGAGTCTTTCATGCAGACTGAACATGAAAATAGTCTCCTACACCCATCTCCTGCTTTAGCTTGGAATAGAGAATAGAAGGTGAAACTCTAGGATTTGAAACGCCTGACAGATCTACGTCACACTCTCACTTAACAGTCGTGGTTTCACCAATCTTGAGGCGCGATAGGAAGGCTGTTGTCCAGGAAACAGCACAGAAAGTCTCGACTAGTAGAAGCTAACCATTAGCAACTCCAACACACGGCAGAACTCCTCCAGGCTTGTGTTATTTCAGGAGATAAAACATCAACGTTGCACAGCAAATTGAGTCAGTGGCAGAGTTGCTGTTGGCCAATCAGAGTAACAATGTTCAAATATCAGGAAACCAGAGAATAAAAATGTGAACATTTATTGGAGACAAATCCAAGTTGGCATATCAGATCTGTGTACAAATAAGAAATCAGCATCAAAACCGGATTTGTTTATTTCTAGATGCAAAACACATCACCACAATGGTACATAAAGTCCTATTAGTCAACACACACTGATGTGCATTTGACCCATCCCCGTGGGGATCGGTGAGCTGCAGCAGTGGCTGCGCTTGGGAACAATTTGGTGGTTTAACCACCAAATTCAACCCCTTAAAGCAGGGAGGCATTGAGTCCCATTTGGTATGACCCGACCGCTGATTTGAACCTTGATCTCACAGGGCATACACTCATTCAACTAGGCCACACCATCTCAAGAGTAAAAGCTGTGATAGTAGAAGAAAGCTATAGATAATCATCAAGTGAACATATATATCTGTAGCATTTGCTTCATTTCGTGAACTCTTAATGTAAGGCAGGAAGCAATCAGACAGAGTTTGTCACATCTAACATGTTCCAGGCAAAAATCAGAACGAGTTTACAAATCCTGAGTGACAGAACAAGGAGGAGAAGATATGAAAATGAAACAATAACAATATTCCACGTTCAACCACCACGGTCACTGCTGTGACAGTATTTTAAAACTTGCAGTATAGTGATGTACAGTGATGGTTAAATCTCTGCGCCAGCAGCATCTCTTCATCCAGTATGTAGGTCAGATGGAGGGTCTCCCTTTTTGCTGCATCCTCCTGAGGATGTGGCCGAGGCACATCCCATCCACTTTTATTGTGTTCAAAACTCAACAGAAAAACTGTCTTGTTCTATTTGTTTTGTTTTATACCCCCAACAGTGCAATGCAGTGAATAACAAACTGATTCATTTCAGTATAAGAAAAAGACGTCAAACAAATTAGAAGGCCTAAAAACAAAGCCTCCCGATCCACTGTGACACACTAGCGGCAGACTGGCTGATCAGACACAGTTGGATGACTTGGCTTTTGTACTTGCTCTGCTCTATTTAGTTCAGCCCGGAGCAGAAATGACTGCACAAATGCTCTGTAACTCTGGAGTAGTGCTGACATACGGAAACACGCCAGTCACTCAAGGTTGCATCATTAAGATGCATAATAAGCTCCGCCGACAGCGTGGCCATCTGGGCTAGTTGAGTCCTCTCCTTAAGCCCGAGGGGAGAGCTGCGTTAACAATAATTAGCGGTCTTTAATAGGCTGTAAAAAGCCCCAACGATGAGCCGTTTTGTGTGACATTTCTGTTTAGTTTTTGTCAGTTACAGAAGAAAAGCAGCATGCTCAAAAAGATGGATTGTCTATGAGTTGTTGAAGATGCAGACAGAGTAGCCTTAACTTTAGTTAATTAGGATTTATAGTTTTACAAACTGTAGCCGTCTCCAATAACCAGAGAACCCAGCTTATAACCTGCAGAGCTAGTAAATACTGAATAGTTTAATTACAGCTTTTTTCTGCCAACATTTCCTTTGATAGGCTTATCTAAAATGCAAATTTGGCTCATCATTCTAACTTAATATAATCCTGAGTCCTGACAGCAAATATCAAACACCCACTTACACAAATTTAAGCAAAACATGGACAGATGCAGTCCTGCACCTCAGATGACTTCTGTTTTCAAGCCTGCATACTTGTACAAGACCTAGCATAGCTGTAAAAACACCGACTCAGATCTGTGACAGCGTCATCCAGTTTCTCAAGAACCAAGCTTCACTTCTCCATTGTATGACTTGTATCATTTCCAGTTTGAATGGAGACTAGGAATCTTGTGAACTCGCCTGTGAAAATGCAAGTAGTCTTTTCCCACGTCACCTCACAGCGCTCCCCTGGAACCCAGGAATGGGTAATGATTCCCTCTATTCAAAAATAAATGTGCTTCCTGCTTAGCAAACAGCTGGTGAAGTAATCAGATGAGACTAGTTTTTCTACAGAATGTGTTGCAATACAAAACTTTCTGTAGAATGACTGGAATGAAGTAAACAGTTAGCTAAAATGAGGACAACAGAAACAGATCTGAATGCTGTGCCTCTCAACGGTAATAATCACATTTTTAATTTTTGTGTCAAACATTTGGAATCAGTCTTATAATAATTTCAACTGGCAGTATACCATGACCCTCACTAATAATACATATTTTATATTGTTTTGGTGGCCCATCCCCCAGTCTTAGCTGCTTAGCAGGCTATTCAAACTCCTCCTTGACACCAGTTAAAAAGCCTAATGTGAGTGGTAATTTATATCAGCTTGTTTTTGCTGAGGTACTTCCTCATGTGTGAGTCTGGTGTGAAGCTCAAGATCAGATTCAAATTTAAAAACAAATAAATGAATAGAATAGTTTGCTTGTGTCAGCTGTGTGGCTTTGACTGCACACCAGCTGGCTAATGTCTGGACAGGGCCAGGCCTAGGAAGCTTCATACCACACAGATGGTGACATGGATCATAAGGTGAAGTAAACAGGTGCAAACAGGTCACCTGTAACTAATAAAACACATACCGGTTGTAGACTAACTTAATGCTCAAGGGATTAAGATCTAAACGAGTAAATCCTGAAATAAAAAAAAAACACATCAGTACTGATTTTACCTGCTGGTATGTCCATTCTTCGGGTCGGAAATCACTGCTTGTTTGCTGGAAGTTGAAGGTGAAGTGGGGCAGTCTGTGCAGCAGGTTCACCCACCATGGTGGAGAGAATCCAACCACGGCTGCCATGACGAGAAAAAATCTGAATCGTCCACCCAAGTGAGGATGCTTTCAACTGTAAACAGGAAGAGGAACCCACTTCATTCAGTCCCTGTCTGAGTGCAGACGCTGCGAGTCATTAGCTGTAGACATACAAGCACCCGGCAAAGTTTCACAGCCAGTCTCAGTCCTACACGATAAATATGTTCAATTCACCCAAAGAACGAGCCTTAGCTGCTGAAACTACACCCCCCGTTCTGAACCAGTGAGCATCAGATCAAAACAAGAGCTAACTTGAAACGACAAACTAAACTAGGCGAGTTATTAACCCTTCTTAACCTGCCGGTTTTACTTTACTGTGGCTGGCGTTGATTAACATGCTAAAGCAGTTTGCTAATATTAACTGTAAACTCAAAAGCTTTAAAACAGTTTAACACTAGCCGCACTTCAAAGCTGTTTATATTACCCGCAAATGTATGTTAGCTAGCGTTTAGCTGCTAGTTAGTTGTTCTGCTCGCCGGACGCGAAGAGGAGGAGAAAAAGGAAGTAGTCTCTTTTGTTCCACTCGACATTCTGGTCGGCGCGTTGCTATATTCTGCTAGCGTCCCGCTTCATCTGTTCCAGACTTATTCCAGCGCAAAAGCTCACACTGCCCGCTCCGACTGAGTTCTCCATCCAGTCACCGCTGGAGGCTGGAGCCAACACTGCGACTGTTCATCACGACAGTCACCCAGCTGGCAGTTGGTTTCACCCAGCCCGACTCAAACACAACGCGCCTCAAAAGCGACCCTGCAGCGCCATCCAGCGGCTCCTTAGAGTAGAGCCAATGTGAGGTTTCAGGAGTGTCGGAAAAATCATAACTAATGATGGGAAGTTTCTATAATTTGTTACCAAATTAAAACTTGAAGTAATGTTTATTTACAAACAATAATATAAATTGTCTACTTTTTTCAAGAGTGGAATAATATTTAGGTTTAAACATTATATTTAATCAGTGTAAAATTTACTAGAAACACTGAAGGCATCACAGGCTAAAACTAAAACTAAAACTAAAGAATGAGAAACAGAGAACAAACCGAATTAACTTGCTCTGGGAACCAGGAACTAATGAGCTTCAAAGAAAGTACACGCATTAACAGGAGGTGAAACTTAAACTTCAGGTTTCTGCTTATTTTGAGACTTTTAAGCATCAAACACAAGCATCACATCTTATTCTCGCCATCAAAAACCTCTAGATCGACTGATTTGAGCGTGACAGTCAAGATTCAACTGTAAGTAGGTGGAACCTTTTCCAGTTCGTTGGATCTGGACTTCAACCAGAGATCACTACACCTTTAAGAAGCCAATAACTTATTTTTTTTCCTTGCAGGAAATCACATGGAGGTGCTCCTGTGCTCACATGACTGTGTGAGCCATGGCAGGAGAGCTCAACGAAGGTAAAGTGCGTAAAGTTTTTAAAAATAATCAAGCCAACTCGTTTCGTTTTTTAATTTGATTTTTTTGTTGTTGTCGATTTTCATTGTGACGTGGAAGTAACGTGAGGGGAACTGAGTCAACGTGTCGGTTATTCATCTTGCCTGAGTGAACTCAGATTTTGTATTTTTGTTTATGCTTAAATGTATTCATCTGCTGTAAAAAAAAAAACAACCGCAAGGTGCTTTATCAGCTTATCACTAAATAAACTTTGCTTCTTACCACCTGGGCTGCTTTTTAGACCTTGTAGATATTTTCCTCTTAAACTTGTCAGGTGTGCCAAATTATTCTGATAAAACTTTAGATTTCGTGTATTTTCTTTATAACGCTATTAAGTCTTTCAACTTGTTTTTTCTTGTGTCTTGTGTTTGGATACTGCGTAAAGATTCAGATTTAGTGTAAAATTAAATGTAACATTTAGTCACATGATGTGTCCTAACTTGAAAATCATTTTCAGAATGATTCGATTACCATAATAAACCCATGTGAAGTATGCTCATGTGCCATCCTGATCAAATTCTTCTAACCGAGGCATTTGTGATGCTGTGTGTTGTTCATTTAGGATCAGTTCCTGCATATTACAGGGACGTGTACGAGGCCATTCGATGCAGGACAGAGGAAAAAGTGCAGGTTGAAGTTTTTCAGAGGCTCCTTCAAATGTCTGATATCTCCAAGCTGACTTCTAACCAGGTGAGGTCAAATCTTGGAGATGCTGCAACAAGTAGCTTTAGTTTAAGAGTTTTAGTTAATCAGCAAAAATCAAGGTATTCTAAAAGTTTAATCAGAAATGCAGATAATTGCATTTATGAAATAAATTGAAGGTGTCGAGTCTGTATTATTCCAGATTTGAGTGACAGTATAATAGAAATGTCCCATTCCTGAGCACTCGACGTATCACTCCCTTTGTGTCCAGTGCTTTCTGCACACAGGAATGCAAACCCCGGTTGAAGTTTTGTCGACCTGCAGGTCATATTGTCTTTGTTTTTCTCAGATTGCTGAGCATGTTGACTCCACAGACGGATTCCTGAGTAAGCTATCCTTCTATAAAGCACTTGCTTTAATTGCTTTTGCTCAACAAGGGAAACAACCAACCCTCAAACTCTTGGAGAACTGCATACAGGGTAGGTGACAGCGCTGCAGTAAACGTTTTCTTTCTTTGCTTAATGAGTAGCTCGGAGATTCTTCACCATGTCCAAAGGCGACTTCAGCAATCCCTCATCTGCTGGGAAACTGCCACCTTTTTACTGGCTCACATGACATTTATCTGCATCAGTTCACTGTCTGAACCAATGCGCAGATGTTAGCAACACAAGCATTTACAGCATTTAATAAGCAACGTGATCATTTTCTTTCATAGTATTGATTTACTTGCTTTTTTTCCAGGGGCATATACAGAGGGGGAGTGAGGGGGCACCCCCCCCCCCCCCCCCCCCACACACACACACACACCCCCAGGTTAAAAAGCTGGCCACTCCTAAACCTGAGACAGGAAAATTTCTAGAACATATGAACAATAAAATATCAAATGTAAAATGACATTTGGAAGTTTATTATTATTATTTTTATTGTTTATTATTAAACAGAGCTTGGTTCATGCTCCCAAAACATTTCTAAAATTCAGATGGTGAGATACTGGGTTCAGACAAAACTAACATATTTAAATAATTAAAAATTAACAAAAAGTAAAAATGCACTCAAATGCCTGGAAATTATATCCAAATTATCCAAAGTTCACCCTTCCTCTCTTTTATAAAAGAAAGCTGAATTTACAATGTCAGAATATGTTCCAATTTTATTGCAAATGTATGCATTTATTCATGGAAAAATGCCACTATTGATGAAAGTGCCTCATTGGTATTGTGCTTTGACTTGATTTTGGTTTATAGTAGCTAATAAGATTATGATTAATGCGTTTAGCCCTCTCAGGCTCATAATAAGTTTTGATAAAAAGACGAACAACTAAGTCCTTCAGGGGGTACTTCTGAGTAAAAAAAATGCTCATGAAATATGTATGTGGAGTAACCAGGTGGGTAGGTTTTAACGTTGCTAATCTGCAACGCCTGCCTCCAGAGGGTTAATATAAAAAAAAAAATCTAAGTTAGGAGCTGCTTACATGTGTCACCCTGGTCCAAATTTGTGCTCCTACTGGGCCACCTCAAAAAAGTTTTTTTTAGACATGCCAGTTTTTTTAAGCGAGAAAACATCATTTTATTTTATTTGTGTAGCAAAGCCATAACTATATTTAACAGTTGTGTGTTTTTTCCCTTTTCTCCCACATTGGGAAGATGATAGGAAACGTTTTATGGTTTCTTTTGAGGTAACCAACATGAAGGCTTGAGTTAGACCAATCCACGACCTTTTTCTGTGCCTAAACCCTTTTGTTTTTTCAAGTGTGGCCAGCATGGCAGCGTGCTGCTTCCTTGTCTACCCCTCAAACTAGTTTTTTGCTTTTGCCACAGTAAATCAGATTCAGTACAAGGGCGTCTTGGAATGTCCTGGACAGAATAATAGGTTGCATGTGTCCTGTGCACGAGACAGTCCTATTTAAAGACAAACGGAGGGAAACATAAAAGTGGTTTTTAAAATAAGCATTCCTCACAGTATTGAAATTCATCTCACTCCCGCTGTATTGATTCAATCACGCAAAGCAAATGTTAGCTGTGCCTGTGTGCTTGATAGAGTTGCCAAAACCTCAGCTCGGGGAGCCGAGGGAGCTGAACGCTCTGAGGATGCAGCCCGCTCAGGACGACGTGCTGACCATTTCAGAGACGCTGGACAAACTTCTGGACAGAGACACCGTCCAGGTGGAGCTCATCCCTGAGAAGAAGGGCCTTTTCCTCAAACATGTTGAGTACCAGCTCACCAGCCAGGCAAGAATCCAAGAACACATCCATTTGAAGACATTTAAATTCTCTCCATCACTGTTATTGGTTAATTATTTTTCTGTTTTGCTTCCCTCCCAAACCAGCGCTACAAAATATCAGTTTACAGACGTTACAGTGATTTTGACATCCTCCATGAAGTTATGCTGCAGAGATTTGCCTACAGAGTGGTTCCTGCATTGCCACCTAAGAGGATGTTGAAAGCTGGTGAGCGTTTCTGTGTGATTGTTTTATTTGTTTTCTCTTCTTTACTTCCTGCATCGTCTCTTTGCAACCCGTATTTTCCTTGAGATCCGTTTAGGGATTGATTGAAAGGCTGTGAGACATTTTAATTAGCGGTTGCTTCAGCTGCCAAGCAATTTTTTAAAGATAAAAAATTAGCATCACTAAGTCAGAATCTGTTTTTTTTTATATGAGTTATTGCAGTTCATTAAAGCTGTTGCCTGACAGACACAGAAACCAGTGGTGCATAAAATGAGCCTGTTTCACTTCAAAAAATCTAATTGTAGCTTTAGGTGATAATTATGTGAGTTGGTTCACACCGATGAATCCTCACCGCACACTAAAAAAGCTTCTTAACCCTACATTTAAAAATAATTTTCATCTGATTACTTTCATAGGTACTTTCTTCTTCTCTGATCCCATCAGGATGTTTCTGATTTTGTTGTAAAAAATATGCAGCTTTCCTTTAAACTTTACACGATTTGAAATTGATACAAAACTCAAATAATTTTAAATTCATGTTATATTTTAAGGTATATTTACAAGTTACATATAAGTTTCACTTATTTCAATCTCAAGTAAAGGTGGTTCAACTTTTGCAAGAGGAACTAGGCAGTTTTGGCTTGCTTGTAGCACCCCCTAGTGTCCGTTTGTAGAACCGAAAGCAAAACTTACCTCCTTGCTGTGCGGTCGTCCTTGTAACACCTTAATCTAACAGCTGAAATGTCTTCCAGCCTTCCTAAGTGTCTACAGGGAGTGGTTCATCACTAAATTAAACTAATCAGCTGTTTTCATGATCTAAAACATGCAGGAAATGTTGCTGGAAGCAGACTGCAGCACCAGGTGAATATTCTGGCCACAGGAGGCAATTTGGGCTGGATGGCTTTTCAAATAACCCCAAAAAGTCATTTTATCACACACTGGCTCAAGAAAATGATTTAAAAATATGAAAAGTTGCAAAGTATGGTTTGAAGTCACGTCGAAAATCACTGCAGTTAGAATAATTTGTACTGAAACTCCTTCTGTATCCTTCTGGTCACTGCAGGAACTTCATCTCTGTTTACTTAGTGGCGCAAAAGTAAAAAAAGTAGGCATCAAGAACATTATAGAAAAAATATACTTAAGTACAGTAACAAAGTACTTGTACTTTTAGATTCCATCACGGCTATTAATTAGCTCGGTTTTCTAATTCCACATCTCTTCTAAAATCTTTCTCTTCTCCTGTATTTGTCCACAGTCCTGACTTCCATCTCTGAGCGTGAGTTCATTGAGGGGAGGCGACGAGCTCTCAGCAGATTTATTAACTTGGTGGCTCGACATCCCCTCTTCTCTGAGGACGAGCTGGTGAAGACCTTCCTCACCTTCAGCGGCTCTGTATGTTGTGTTTTTAATGAGCTTCCAGTTTTCTGTGGTGGCTGTTGCACCATAACCGTTATCTTCACGATTCGTGACGGGGAAACACGTCCTGTTCCAGCTACCCTTTGTCTTTTTCCACTCATTCTCTCTTCCATCCTGCTTCCCTCACAGGATGTTCAGACTAAGCTGCGTGACACTTGCAAGAAACTGGGCGACGAGTTCATGACCAACAGGACTGCAACCCTAGCCAAGGTTTGTCATTTAAATCACGACTCCAGGGGGAGCCACTTTATTATGAGCACCTAAACCAAGAGGTGTACTGGACTTGTTTTGCAGGAATATCTCCCAGCAGACATGCAGGCTCAGTTTGCAACAAGCAGAGAGATGATTAGAAACATCCACAGCAGCTTCCAAAAGCTGCGGGACAGAGCTGAGAAAATGGCTGAGCGCTCTAAGGAGAATGCTACTGATCTCCTCATGTTTGGTCGGGAGCTCAGGTATTTTATTATTAAGGGTATGAAGTTAGTCCTCTGGTAATACCTAGGGGTTTTCATAATAAGATTCAAATACTTTGTAGCTAATACCTAACCATAGACTCTCTCTTTTTATATTAATGTTCTTGACAGTACTCTGGGTTCAGATGCTTCACCTCTTCCCTCTTTGGCGTCATCACTGAGCACCTGGGGGACTCTGCGTCAGTCTCTGAAGAGCCTGTCCGTGGAGTTTGCCGTTTTGTCTGACAAAGCCTCTCAGCAGGTAGAGCGCTCAGTATTTCCCTGCTGCTTTTGCTCAAGAACCAGCGCTGGGTGATGAATGTTGTTTTGTTCATGTCTTCAGGGCAGACGGGAGGAAGATGATGTTGTGGAGAAACTCAACCTCTTCCTAGATTTGCTGCAGTCTTACAGCGTGAGTTTCTCTTGTGTTTATTTTCTGTGTTTTCTTTAAGTCCACCTTCAGCTGACACAAGCTGGTGTGACTGGGGTGTCTTTACATCTCATAAACAACTGAGATTGTGGCTCATCTGAATTTCCTTCAATGACACGGGGGATGGTTAACCACACAGTTAGCATATTGTGATAAAGTTCATTATTTTCTGTAATGTACTGATAAACATTAGACTTTCATATATATTGGATTTATTACACACAGCTGAAGTAGTTCAAGCCTTTCACTGTTTCTAATATTGATGATGTTGGCGTACAGCTCATGAAAACCCAAAATTCCTCTCAAAAAATTGGCAAATTTCATCCGACCAATAAAAGAAAAGTGTTTTTAATACAAAAAAAGTTAACCTTCAAATAATTACGTTCAGTTATGCTCTCAATACTTGGTCGGGAATCCTTTAGCAGAAATGACTGCTTCAATGCAGCGTGGCATGGAGGCAATCGGCCTGTGGCACTGCTGAGGTGTTTTGGAGGCCCAGGATGCTTCGATAGCGGCCTTAAGCTCATCCAGACTGTTGGGTCTTGCATCTCTCATTTTTCTCTTCACAATATCCCACAGGTTCTCTACGGGGTTCAGGTCAGGAGAGTTGGCAGGCCAATTGAGCACAGTAATACCATGGTCAGTAAACCATTTACCAGTGGTTTTGGCACTGTGAGCAGGTGCCAGGTTGTGCTGAAAAGTGAAATCTTCATCTCCATAAAGCTTTTCAGCAGATGGAAGCATGAAGTGCTCCAAAATCTCCTGATAGCTAGCTGCATTGACCCTGCCCTTGATCAAACACAGTGGACCAACACCAGCAGCTGACATGGCGCCCCAGACCATCACTGACTGTGGGTACTTGACACTGGACTTCAGGCATTTTGGCATATCCCTCTGCCGAGTCTTCCTCCAGACTCTGGCACCTTGATTTCCGAATGACATGCAAAATTTGCTTTAATCTGAAAAAAGTACTTTGGACCACTGAGCAACAGCTGCTTCTCTGTAGCCCAGGTCAGGCGCTTCTGCCGCTGTTTCTGGTTCAAAAGTGGCTTGACCTGGGGAATGCGGCACCTGTAGCCCATTTCCTGCACACGCCTGTACACGGTGACTCTAGATGTTTCCACTCCAGACTCAGTCCACTGCTTCCGCAGGTCCCCCAAGGTCTGAAATCGGTCCTTCTCCACAATCTTCCTCAGGGTCTGGTCACCTCTTCTCGTTGTGCAACGTTTTCTGCCACACTTTTTCCTTCCCACAAACTTCCCACTGAGGTGCCTTGCTACAGCACTCTGGGAACAGCCTATTCGTTCAGATATTTCATTCTGCGTCTTACCCTCTTGCTTGAGGGTGTCAATGATGGCCTTCTGGACAGCAGTCACGTCGGCAGTCTTACCCATGATTGTGGTTTTGAGTAATGAACCAGGCTGTGAGGTTTGAAAAGCCTCAAGATTCTTTTGCAGGTGTTTAGAGTTAATTAGTTGATTCAGATGATTAGGTTAATAGCTCGTTTAGAGCAGTGGTTCCCAACCTTTTTCCCAAGGGACCCCTTTTTTTTTACCAGTAAAATTTTTGATGACCCCCTCCCATTCTCTCTTCCAGTACAAACAGTATTAAGAAATGATAAAATTGTTCAAACACATTTTAATGAACATTCAACACCTGAGATGGTTCCATTTGACAGCTACAGAGTTTGGCATTTAATGTGAGCTTTGGGCTTGTAACTCCTGGGCCAGTGATGGGATATCAGGCATGATGTTGGTGACAGCCAAACGAAAGTCACTGTGCACATCAAGCCTGTTGCGTGCTTTTGACTTGATGGTGAGAAGAGCACTGAAAGCTGTCTCTGAGAGTTGCGAATGGCAGGATGAATCTGGTCGTTGCGTGAAGCACGAGTCTTGGAGCAACTCCATGTCCTTTCACAAGCCAAAACTGCATGTATCCATATTCCTCATAGAATTTCTTCAAGAGAGAATTGGACTTGATATCCATGAGCTCATCCTCAGCCTGAAGGTATTCCACATCCTCTTCTTTTGCAAGAAACGGGTCCATCACCCATGTGTCTTTTGTGACATGTTCATTTATGTCTGAAAATCGGGATTTCATCTCTTCTTGCAGCTTCTCCATGTGCTGGGTGAACTGGTGGATCAAAGCATCAGATCATTCCCCCCCCGCTTGTTTACTTAAAGAGGGAAAGGGCTGTAGATCCCTCTTCATCAGTTTGTTCTTTCTGTACTCCACTTTACGCACAAATGCATCCACTGCTTCTTTGCACACCACTATAGTGGTCTGTGCACCCTGCATGTGTTTGTTTGTTTCATTATAGAGACTGAATATGTCTACCAGGTATGATGCATTAATTAAAAATTCATCTGTCATTTCTTCCACTAGTTTCTGGTTGTGAAGGGTCAAAAAATCTCTTATCGGCTTTTGAAGTTCCATGAAACGCTCCAGCGCTTTGCCCCGTGACAACCAGCGCACCTCAGTATGGAGGAGGAGCGTCTGGTGCGTCTGGTCCTCACACATCTGTGCAAAGATTTGTTTATTTACTGGACGAGCTTTAATAAAGTTAACAATTTTCACAACAGTCTTTAACGTTTCATTTAGTTTCTCACAGAGATGTTTGCTGGCCAGGGCTTGTCTGTGTATCATGCAGTGAAACACCAGGCAGTGGGGTGCTTTCTCTCTCAAGCGGCTGTTGAAGCCTTTATTCTTTCCCATCATAGAAGCAGCTCCATCTGTGCAGCATGCCACTAAATTATTATAGGAAAGACGGTGTCTTGTGAAACATGTGTCGACAACACAAAAAATATCTTCTCCTCTGATGGTGGTTGTTAGATTGACACAGTAGAAAGTCTTGTTTCAGTTCATTTTTTTCGATGTACTGCACATATACGATCAGTACCGCCTCCTCTCCTACAGTGGTGGTTTCATCAAGCTGGATAGAAAACGGACCAGCTTTGAGACTTTTTATTAGAGTGTTCTCAACATTTCCAGCCATTCTGTCAATTCTGTCTTTTACCGTGTTGTTAGACAGCGGCACTGTCTTGAATTTTCTGGCAACCTGAGATCCACACATTACTTCTGCCATTTTAATGCATGCCGGTTTAATAAGTGTCTCTGCTATATTATGAGGCTTTTTAGCTTGTGCAACAAGGAGAGAGCACTCAAACGATGCAATAGTTGCTTGCTTTTGGTCACTTCCAGCTCTGGCAAAACTTTCCTTGATGTTCTGGGGTCTGTTTGTCATCACAGTTTCTTTTTTGCGAAGGAAAAAATCCCTGGGTTTACCCACCGTATCTGGGTGTCTGGATGTCTGATGTCGCTTCAGTTTGCAGGGTTTCATACTTTCATTAGCTAGTTTCTCACCACAAATTACACACTCAATTTTGACTTTGTCCATTGACTCAATAAAACCAAACTCCAGATAGCTGTCCTGATAAGTCCTTTTTTTCTTTCTGAGACAATCCATATTCTCTTCTCTTTCACGCTTGGCCATTTTCCCAACCTCTTTGGATAGCTTCCAAGCTAGCTCCGTTGTGCAATCGTTCCGTTACGCTAGTAGCATCATTGTCAATAAAGTGATTTCAGTTTTTTTATTAACTCAATAGAGCTTGTGATCACACGTGATTACGTATAGCATTCTGGGATGTGTGCAGACAAGATGGAAGCTCGACGAGTGTAAACAAACCGTGAAACAAACGGTACTGTCGCAGAAAAGAAGCGGATTTGGGTGAAAGAAAGTGTTAAACAACATTATAAAATCCCAAAAAGGATGCGGATTATACAGGGATGCATTATATAAAGACGTCAGGGTCCAGTATGAGGACAAAATCAGCGTTATAAATGGCTTTGATCCACATGAAAGACCCAAGACCGGAGCACTGATGACATATTGTTGCCGCTGCAGTTCTGCATAACGGACATTTTCAGCTTTCTTGTTTGTGGTGTGAGCAGATGTAAACGTCCGGATGAGAGGTAAAACTTTTATTTGCTGGTTTTCATAGTAAAACAATCAAAATCGTCATCTCAGCAGGAGAAGTTGTGTTGTGTGTCAGCGCACCGCATTAGTTCACCGGTACGTGCGTGTAGCCTGTGTGAGTGTGTGTGTGTGTGTGTGTGTGTGCGTGCGTGCGTGTGTGTGTGCATGTCGTGGTTAAAAGGAAAGAAATGATGTATAAAAACATACACCATCTGTAACTTACCAGAGTGAAAATCATCCAGAAGGTGATGTTTGGTGGTCTTACAGCTGCGATCCAAGTGAGCCGATGAGACTTTGTTATGCTAGCTACTTGGTCTCCGTGGTTTTGCCTCCAAGCAGGAAAACGGTGAAAAGTTAGCTTGTTTTCCACCTTTATTCTCATGGCGATCACGTGTCAGCCCACAACACAGCACCGACTTACTATAGTTGTGTAATACAACTGATCAAATGAATAATAGATTAATTTAAGCCGCAAAAACGAGCGCGCTGTTTACAGTAGAACACGTAACAAGGGCGGCTGCATTGGTGATGACGTCACGATCACAGGCCCTGTAAATATTACAAAACTGTAAAGATTTAGTATGCTAAACAAACATTAATTAAATGCTTAGAATTTTTATTTAAGCTCCAAATTATTTAGTAAACATTAAATGAAAAAATAAAATAAATGAAGTTTTAACCCCTCAAAGTGGAGAGGTCCTGGCGACCCACTGAGAGGTTTTGGCGCCCCCTTGTGGGGGTCGGGACCCCCAGGTTAGGAACCACTGGTTTAGAGAACCTTTTCATGATATGCTAATTTTTTGAGATAGGAATTTTGGGTTTTCAGGACCTGTATGTGTGTGTGTATATAAATATATATATATATATATATATATATATATATATATATATATATATATATATATATATATATATATATATATATATATATATATATCACACACACACACACACACACACACACATACAAAGTCAGAATAAAGACTTATTTACAGCCTCAAAAAGTTATTTCACTGCTTTTCTGGTCTGGAGCATACAGGTGTGTGTTAACGTGTCATGTCAGGGAGGAAACTGACCCTAGAGCATTGACGTTAGAGAAAGTGTTGCTGCCCGTCAGTTTAGGAAGGGTGAGAATAAAGTTCCATATAGAGAACGATTTAGGTGGAAAACATTTAAGACATTTTCCATCCTTCCAGAAATGGAGTTCACCCAGAGGTGCGGCTGTGCAATGCTTAGAGAGATTACAAACCCCCCAAGAGCTACAGCTCAGACTCCACAGGCTTCAGATTACATGTTAAATGTTAACATTATCAAAGAAATATGGCTCATTTTCATGCTTGGCCACTTGACACACTCTGGCAGCACAAATGAAGTTTGCAAAGTTGCATACGTGCAAACTTAATTTGTTTTTTGGAACAGATGAGACTAAAAGTGGGATATGTAGCTACAATCCACAGGAACACGTTTCAGGAACGGCAAACAGCACCTCCTACCACCTGTGAGCGTGATGGTGGAGGGATGATGATCCTTGCAGTCACTGTTGATTATGAACTCCTGTGTACAACAGTATTCGAGTCAAACGTTGAGCTGTCTTTGCCAATGGCTGAAGCTGGCAGCAAATCTAGATCAGCAAAAGAACAAACTCATGCCACAGCCATATTGCCGTGGAATCAGTTATCCTCACATTTTCAGTCACATCACCAGAAGCACCGTGCTTTTTCTCCAGGATCTCTGTGAGCGTCATGAAAGGGGCGTTCTCCACGAGCACCAGAAGGCTCTGCACAAATACAGCATACTGAAGAGGCAGATGATGAGTGCCACGGTGCAGTCCAAAGAGCAGGTGTCTGTGGAGCAGCTGGAGTCACGAATCGTTCAGGTGATTTACTTTGTCTCCCTTCTTCTGGTGCAACTCTGTTGTCTCTGTATAAATAACATTCTCACTCTGGCTGAGTGCACCTGCAACTTAAACACACAGTTGGGATCATCACTGCTAAAAATCACCTAACATATGTGTTTCTTGTTGTTAGTAAAGAAGGAAAAACCTGAAATATAAATGAGATAGGTAAAAAAGCAGCAATGTCTGCAGAAAATGCTATTGATGTGGATTTGGGTACCACAGACCTGTTTTTATTATTATGCACTAAAACTCATTGAATGCAGAACACCTTCCCTTGAATCCCTTTGAAATATTCAGTTTGTGATGGTTTCAAAAACAGTTTGACGGAACCAGAGCGGCGTTTCAGTCCGTGGTACAAAACTGGGTAAAGAAAGTAATTAATTTGCTGTGTGCTCTCGTCCTGGTGGCTTTTATCTTGTGGCTGCAGTTCCTCTTTGTCTCTGTGGTTTATTTGTGTTGGCTGTTTGGTCTCGTTGGTTGTGTGATTCCCCTTAAAGGGACTTTAAGGAAGTTTAATAACCAGTACATGCAGAGACATTTTAAATTTCTTCCTCATAAATTCTCCTGCATGCCCTGGTCCTGTAGAATGACACCTGGCATGCTTACTGATTGCCTCTGTATTCCTGTAAAATCACAGAAAAAGAACAAGCCTGCTTCCCCGGTGCCTTCCAGAGGCAGCGTAATGCGTGATGACGTCATGTGCGCTCACGCTCAGGCATAGCCCATGGCGTTTGCTATCTGTAGCTTAGCGGCAGAGCGAGAGGCAGTGTTGCCAACTCGGTGACTTTGTTGCTGTTGCTAGCACCTAGCGACAAACCTAGCAAAATTTCTCAGGGCCGTTTGCTACTTTCTGTACTTATTCTTGTAGATATTCACTACAGATTAGCAACGTAGAAACCATTTGCACTCCGAACCGTTATTCTGCGAGCAAGGAAAGAGAATGACAATTTCTGCATGTGCACGAGGACATAAACCTTTGACCATAGACATCGACAAATGTCTGTAGGGCCGACGGTACTGCGGCAGAGCTGGAGACCGCCGATTTATGCCTGCTGCTGCAGCAGATTCATGCCGCTGCAGAGTCACGTTTCTACTGGAGACAACGCAGGAGTGAACCTGCACTCTTTGGTTCTGCAGCCGTAGGGCCCTTTGGCTTTTCCTGCATTTAGCAAATAAAGTCAGTGGGAGTTTGAGCTACTGTCCCGTTAACACATGCAGCCCTGTGGCTCATCTGAATTTCCTTCAATGACACGGGGGATGGTTAAATCAGGAGACACCCGCTCCCAGTTGCTCGGTGCACGCTATTATCACAATCTAGATCTAGAGCGAAAACACAATGGAGAAGTGGAGAAGGTGGAAAAGCAGCTATTCAAGAAAATGCTGGTAATGCACAAACGTGACAGAGTCTGTGAGAATGAGGGTGATTAACTTAGAAAATGTGGACGCAATTTTAATTGTCAAAAACTCAAGCGAACCAACCCGCTTCAGGTGTATGACGTCATCGACTAGTCAAAGTCGATTCGATTTTCATTACTTGTCTGTGCAGCCCCTAGTGTGTGTGTGTGTGTGTGTGTGTGTGTGTGTGTGTGTGTGTGTGTGTGTGTCTGCTCTGTCTTCTCGATCCCCAGTGAGTCATGGTGGATGGCTGCTTATACTGAGCCAGGATCCTCTGGAGGTTTATTCTTGTTAAAAGGGAGTTTTCCTCTCCACTGTCGCTAAATGCTTGTTTAGTATGAGGGTTGCTGTAAAGACATCGAAACTAGTCAGTGACTCGATGCATCCTGCTGGGTTCCTTATATAGGACACTTTTTACTGATTGGCTTAGTGAACTGAACTGTATTGGAATGTTTAGTTCGTGAAGTGCTTTGAGAAGATTCGTCGTGATTTGGCGCTTTATAAATAAACTTGAATTGAATTGAGTCTGATCTTCAGAAAAACCTTTTCTGTGATACATTTACTATTATTAAAGTAAGAAATACATTCATAGTATATATTTTATTGGCATATATATATATATATATATATATATATATATATATATATATATATATATATTTTTTTTTTTTTTTGTGATTCTGCTAATAGCAAGAAAGTGCCATTCAGACCATGGAGCTACGCAACTACTTCTCCTTGTTCTGCCTTCATCAAGAGACTCAGCTCCTCTTCACCTACCTGCCAATCACCTCCCACATCCTGGGGGCTTTTGTTAACTCCCAGGTGCAGGGCCACAGAGAGGTACGGCTGTTAGGTCACTTTACTTTTAGATTATCTTTTGAAATAACCCACATTATGGATCATTTGTAACTGAGCATAATGGCTTGGAATTAAGCTTCCATTTGTCACAAACCAGAATACATCTACAAATTATTTTAGTGGAACATCTTATTAAAGCAAATGTAACATTTTTAATTTTCACTGAAATTCGTGAACCATTATTAAATCAATCTTTCTGTGGACATTATGGGAATTATTTAGAGACGAGTTTGTTTTACAGGATTTATTTATAGGATTGTGTCCTAAGGTCTATGCAGCATTAACACAAGTGGGATGATTTTTTTCTTTCAGATGGGAGAGGTGTGGAATGAACTTCAGCTGAAGCTTGGGTGTCTCTTTGGTGGTAAAAACGGATTGAAGCTTCCCATTTGAAACCTAAATGCTCATGTGATGAAGACGAAATGCAGCCGCAGAAGAGGAGCACAAGTGGGAAAATAAAAAAGCTCCATGAGCTTAAGACCAAAACATATAATTGCACTCTGCACACTTGAACCTGGAAGATCCTGCTTTAAAATGTTTGGCTCCAACAGCAGTCATACTGTCTGCAAGACTGGGTTCATACTCGGAGATGTACCGTCTATTTCAGAGTCCACTTTCAGAAATGTCAGCAGAGAAAAATGTTTTGTTTTTTTTTTTGTTACAAGAAGGGTGACGATATATTTCTACGTTGCACCACGGTGGCAGAAGCACCCATCAAAGTTTAACACACTAACTGACTCATCAAGAGGAACACAGAAAGTTGAGTCTTTCAGGATGGGATTAGCTTTTAATCTCTGCAGCTCTTTTGGCTGAATTTAACCAACATAGTTTAGCTTTAGAAGATCATGCAGCAGCAGTTTGCATATTTTTGATAATGTTCTGCATTTTTCAGTTGTTTTTCTTAGTGGCTTGAAATTTTGCATCCGTCTGGAATATTTTTGAAAGTGTGATTTAAAACACGTACACGTTTTTATACAACTGCTGAAGTTAATAAACCTAACAGATAAAAACATACCCGGACATTCGTTATCAGCTCAAGTTTGTAAACCTCTTGAATTGTAGAATGGTAATTAGCTGGAAGGTTTTTAATGTAGAGCCGTATGTAAAAGTCCACATCCTGGACAACTTTTCTAGTAGCAGATGCTGAAGTCGGAGGATCAGCATGATTGGACTCGAGTTGCTGCTCTTCAACATGTTCACCCAGACGAGCCAGAGTGCTGCTCTGAATTAGAAACATTTAGGTTGAAACTCAAATTGGAAGGGAAAACACTGCACCCAAGCTTCAGAAACCTAATCCCAGTTGAGATGCATGGAGGTGGAAGTTTCATGATGTGGGTCAGTTTCGCTTCATTTTGATTAACAAAAAAATATATATATATAGAAGAAAATCTACTGACTTTTCCATAGTATTTAATTTCTGTTTAACATGTTTAGATCTGGACAATGATCTGATCATTTAGCCCAATTTTTAAAGGCTTCACACCATATTTTTAATAATTTAAGCTTTTCAAAAGGCCTGAATTTGGTGTGACTCTAGAATGGGAAGATAGTGAGACTGACTAAATCATTCTCACTCACTGAATATTTCAATAGCAAGAAATGTTCATTAATTACCAAGGATATACATTTATCTGAATGTACAGTGAGTCATAGGATTTACACTGAAAAATAATTTCTAAATGACCTAATCATCACTTTTATGTTGTGTAGGACAAAAATACTTCATGTTACTGTCCTGCTGAAAAAGGAAAAAGCACTCCAACTGCGGTGCACCAGGATGACCTGTCTGTTCAGCTGTTTTTCAGTAAAAAGAACATTTTTCATTTATGTGCATTTGTACACAAACATTTTATACATTTTGATAGAAACAAGCTGAGGGAACAGTTTAAGACCAGTTTTAAAGAGGCTCTCATTTACAAGCTGATTTCATCTAAAATACTCTGAAATTATATTCTAAAAAGAAAAACTATACACACACTTTGAAGTTTTATTTTTATGGAGAAATGGATCCTGCACATATACAGAATGAAATGTGTTCTGATGAACAAAAGCTTGTAAACCTGTTGATATTGTAAATATTCAGATGAATCTTTTGTTGTACTGTGTTGAATCAGATAATAAAACGAACAAAGCTGACTTATTTGTTGTTGCTTTGATTCGTATAATAATTCCTGGAAAACTAGAGGACTCTAAAGATTGAAACACAGCCATTCAGGTCATGCTACTCATACAGCACAGAAACCGTTTTGAGTGGACAAAAGCTTCCCCTTCTCTTTGACAAACAATAACCGTGTGAATGTATGTTTTAAAGGCCCAGACGGCACAGTTCCTTCTCATCAGAGCTCCTGCACCTCCTCCAGCGTGTGGCTGAGGATCACGTCGTGGCCCTGAAACTTGAAGTATCCCAGAAATTTCTTCTTCTGAAACATCAGAGGGAACCACAGGATGTCGTCAGCCCACATCTGACTGAAAGGGATTTTATCATGGTCGAACCACTGAGGCCTCATTTCTGGAAAATGGAACAAAAAAAATGATATGGGGACTTTTAAGAAATTAAAGGAGTAGTTTACTCATTTAATCCATTCATTTGCAGTTTCAACGCAGCAGTACATTGCGAGTAATACCCTTATCCCAAGTTCGCAAAGTGCAGATCAAGGGTGCAAAAGGGGAGCTGTCAACTTTCACACTTGCAACGATAACACAAGCCTGGAGGAGCTGCTGCTGTATGGTGAAGTAGCTAACAGCATCTACTAGCAAAGACATCCTCTGCTGTTGACTGGATGCCAAACCAGCAACAGCCTTCTCTGTCGTGAGTCAAGATGGGCGAGTCCATGGACGTTTAAAGGGATAGTGTGCAACTTTTTCATATTTTTAAATCATTTTCTTAAGCCAGTATGTGCTAAAAATGACCTTTTGAAGGGTTAAAGAAAGGCCACCCAGTCTGTATCGCCCCCTGTGGCCAACAACTTCCACTTGCAACTTCAGACTGGCGACCACTCTGTTGGGAACTAGCAAAAAATGAGCTGACATACCTGGCACTGCAATCTGCTTCCAGCACATGTCCTACATGTTTTAGATCATGAACACATCTGACTTGTTTATTTAGGGATGAATCATTCCTTTAGACACCAATGATGGCTGGGGAGAAATTTCAGCTGTTGGATTAACGTGTTAAAAAGACAAACGCACAGCAAGAAGATAGGGTTTAGTTCTACAAACGGACACTAGGGGGTGCTAAAAGCAAGCAAAACTGCCTAGTTCCCCCCTTTATAGTCTGATATCAACCACGCTGTCATGCTTTCCAAATCCTAGTTTCTATCAGAAACTAGTGCAGAAGATAAGAGTAGGAGACTATTGTCATGCTCAGCCTGCATGAAAAGTCAGAGTGACTGATTATGGTGAAATGTTTTGGCCGTTCTCAAAGAATATGAATGAAAAAACACCAAGTTGTGTTTGGAGCCCAAAGTCACTCAATTTTATAATCACACACTGATTGCAAGGAAACAAATCACATTCGAGGATGTTACCTTTAGCAGTCATTCAAACCCATTTGTGTAAAGTTGTGTGCATGTTTCACCGCGTCACTTTGGTATTTCACTCCGGTACGGTGATTTGAACTGAGTTCACACTTTTTTCACGGTAAAAATAGATCCACCAGTGTGTAATGGGCACAACTGTATTACAACTATTTCTGTGGGCGACGGTGGCACAGGAGTTAAGTGCTCGCCCCGTAATCGGAAGGTTGCAGGTTCGAGCCCCGCTCAGTCTGTCGCTGTCGTTGTGTCCTTGGGCAAGACACTTAACCCACGTTGCCTGCTGGTGGTGGTCGGAGGGACCGGTGGCGCCAGTGCTCGGCAGCCTCGCCTCTGTCAGTGCGCCCCAGGGCAGCTGTGGCTACATCGTAGCTCATCCCCACCAGTGTATGAATGTGTGAGTGACTGGGTGAATGACTGATTGTGTTGTAAAGCACCTTGGGGGGTTCCAGGACTCTAGAAGGCGCTATATCAAATACAGGCCATTTACCATTTATCTTTTTTAAATAACTTACTGAATCCTGAAATGGTTTGGATTGAGACCGTTTGGTTTGTGCAATAAGAGTTAAGTCTACATTGTGCAGTTTTCTTAAAGCATATTTTTCAGTTCAATTCCTGATCCTTGCCTCCTATTAGCCTCTAGACTTTCTGCTTCACAGCTTTCCTTAGACTGCTTCAGAATTGTGTGTGTGTGTGTGTGTGTGTGTGTGTGGGGGTCTTCATTAAGCTGACCTTGGCTTCATTCTCAGAAACTATCTGAAGTCTGCATGTGCTGCTGAAGGTCTCTCCTCTCCTTAGTTTGCTGACAGGCTTTTAAGCCATTCTTGTGAAAACACACCTAAAAATCCTCCTCCACTAACACACGTCTCACAAACATCTCCGTTTTGGTGAGTTAATTGTGAGTTAAAAGTGCACTGTGCTGTTTTGACAAACTTCTTGAAAAAGAAGAGCTATCATGAGACAACCACAGTAGCTACAGGAGCGTAAAAATGTAAAACAACCTCGTTTTTTTTTTTTTACATTTGATTTCCAGTTTGCCAAGAGTTTTTTATTTTTATTATTTTAAACCGGAGCTTCATTTATCACACGCTCGTAGAAATGTTCCCATATAGCTTCCTATGAATGAAATTTAGAATGTACGAATGGTCAAAATCCTGATTTACACATGTCCCTCCACTATCGCCTGTTGATAAATCCCACCTGTGCATACCCAGGTGCTCATGTGCGTTCACGGTCATTTACATACCCATACGCCCTCAGTATTTGGTCACACTACGTCCTCAGTTCATGAGGAGTTTCCCTGGGTGACAGCAAACAGGACACAGTGTGAATCAGAATGCTTTAACCTCCTTATTTTGAAACTCAAAAAACAACCATGGTGCATAGCTGAAGTGGAGGAAGCAACAGTAAAACAGAAACCCATATTTACATGTAAGTTACAGAAACTCAGTTTAAACCCACTGATTCATTTCTTTTAATCCTAGTACAAGTGAAAACTTCTAATTCTCTCTACGAATCACGAAAGTTTGCCACTTCTTCCTCATCCCAAATAAAATCACTAATAAGACGAGGAATAACGCTGACATGTCGCTGTTTCACTTATTGGATGTGTAGAGTAAATCAAAAACATGATTCCTCACTGATCTCGTTTTCCAGAGTTTACAAAATAAGATGTGATGGTGGCAGAGGAGTTAAGTGCCGCCCTGTAACCAGAGGGTTGCAGGTTCGATCCCTGCTCAGTATGTCACAGTCGTTGTGTCCTTGGGCAATACACTTAACCCTCTAACTGCTTCTGATGGTTGGAGATCGGTGGCGCCTGTCTGAGGTCCGGATCACACTGCGATCTTTGGCCGTCACACAGGACTGTTCATGTCACACTGAGAACTCCAGCAAGGTGGCACACTGTATGGTGCAAGATTTCGGTGAGTCAGACTGCACGACGTCTCTCTCCAGCAGGACACGCTGCGTCATGAGCGCACCTCCCGGAGCATACGTAACTAAGCAGACCGCGAACCAAAAACAAAGGTGAAAAGATAAAAACACTTAAGTGTTCCTTACCCAACTCATCTTCCTCAAAGAGGAAGCTTCGTTTTTAAAACCCTCGCTTTGGCAACAGACTCTGGCTGCGGGTCTCCTTTTCCCGTCTTCCAGCTAAACAGCGGATCTGTCAGCTGGTCATTCATCCTTCTCCCCTCCATACACAATAACCCACCAAACTACTAAGAAGTAACAATTTGTCACAGATCGCTGCAATGTCTAAACTTTTGTCGTAAATCCTGACTCACTGCTCCGCAGCTCCGCTCCATGTGACAGCTCACACCCGCTGTCGCGCAGCTTCCTGTCCCCCTGCAGCAAAACGCTACTGAACCATCCTTATTGGTTGAATATGGGAAATTTCCACCACCAGCAAAGTGATCTCATGTTTTATTTTTTATGTTCGTGAGCCCTTCTCCTCTAAGCTCTCACAGGTCACAGAATCACAGTTTTTCACACGATTATGCTCCCAACGAGGGATCTGGCTAAGATGGCCGCAAATCGCACAGTGTGATCAGTGACCCCCAGAACAGCTGTAGCTACGATGTAGCCCATCACCCCTCAGTGACTATGTTGTAAAGCACCTTGGGGGGTTGTAGAAGTTGCTAAATCCAATACAGGCAATTTTCCATGTTTTACCCTTTCTTTCTCTTACCCTCCGACTCCGTTGGTTCCCCGTTAAAAGCATCAGCTCTAAAGATGTGGACGTCTAGAAGTTGTGTTTCTCCAACAAACTCAAATTTGATATTCCCAATCTTCTCCAGCGTATCCACAGTGAGGCCACTTTCCTCTTCAAGTTCCCTGAAAAAAAAACATACTCTAAACAACAATTTTCTCATCATTTTTGCTTCTCACTCTTTATTAATCTCAGGCGACAACAAAAAAACTTGCTTTAAAAACGTACTTAAACATACTTAAAAATATTTTGGGTAACTTGATTGTCATTGTTGCACAAAGTCCACCATAACTTAAAGCCTGCTTCTACCCACACTGCACTTTTTAAATCAGTGACCCAATTGTAAAATATCAATATACTCACCACATGCTGTGTGCAAAGTTTGACGCAAGAGGTTGTTTTCAAATGTGACTATTTGGACTTAAGGAATCTGGTAGTTTCAATGAAAACTTCCAAAAGTCCAACATGAAAGCTGACCTTATACTCAAACTGAGATTTTTTTTTAACCGTGTCCTGTCTGGCTGTGAAGCAAACAGAATTGATGTCTGAATGCTGGTGACAAGCCTTACAGATTTACTCTCAGGTGGAGCATCAAAGCTTCTGCTTTAATGCTCCACCTGTTACTTAAAGAGCAAGTCACCCTCAAATAAACTTTTTTTTGCTGATAAACTAAATAAACGAGTGTCTAATCGTGCTACAGACACGTGTCGTCAATAATTTGGCATTTCAGTGTATCTTAGTTAAAATTTAAATATTCTGCCTAAAACTGGCAGTGTTGTGCCGTTGTCAGGTAAAAACTCTGCACTGTATTTTAATTTAAATCTGTCACCGCTATTGGCTAAGGGGTATGCTATGATGTAAACTGGTACATTATGATGTCACAATGCTGTCGTGAGCCTGTGTGTGTGTGTGTGTGTGTGTGTGTATTCAGGGTCCGAAATTAACACTCGCCACTCGCCAAATGCGAGCAAATTGCTCCATTTGGCGAGTAACTTTTTGAGCTCTATCTGCCACATGGCGAGTAAATGTTTGCACCAAATTAGTTATGCTTATCAGTCATCTTCCATGGATTTCTGATATTCCTCCCGCCTGCACGCAACGTACAAAAATGTACGCGAAACGTGAGCGCCGCATCCAACGTCATTTCCACCTATCCCATTCAATCAGTTTATCAAGTTAGCAGTTAGCTTCGTGTTAAAACTAGCGGTGAAATGTGGCGGTTTTTAATTGGAGTCAGCCAGCCTTCCAAAAGAAAACTCGTCGAACTGGAAGAAAAACCACCAGGACCAGTGGCAACCAGAAGATTTTGTGAAAAGTGGCGAACTGGAGATGGCGGAGTCGTGAAACAATGGCTACATTATGAGGGCCACGTAGATGTGTCATGAGATCTGAAGCGTTGCTGCCTTTCACAGACCCTTTTTTCTGCACGTACTGCAAACAGGATAGCCGTCTTCTATCAACTGTCCCTCGGCATTCTTCAAATATCCAAAAAATGCCCGTACTTCCCACTTTGTCTTCTATGAGGGATAATAGATGTCCCGAGTGCTGCCGTCTCCTCTGGCCATTATTTCAGCTTTAGCTTAAAGAAAGTTTTGGTTGTAAACAACAAAGTGTGCATGTGCCACCGGCAACTTCAGCAGATGATACGGTGGCTGGTAAGGGTCACTGCGCCTACACCGCAGCCACGGTAATCCACCGAGATAATTTTTTTTCTAAACAAGACGGTTATTATTATTGTCAACTTTTTTACCGGGGTTTACCGCTACACCGGTTACCGTGACAACCCTATTTCAGATATTCTCATGGTGCAGCTGTGTTCTCCAGAGATCAAGGACTATGACCCAAATGAGGCTGTAATGCTTTGGCACAAAGACGGTGTCAGAAGCAGGAGGCCAGTCTTCATGGACAGAGAAAACAAGGAGTCTGACTAGATTTCAATGAAAGAGTTCATAAAAACATCTCTAAAAATAAATAAATAAATTGTAAAAATGGCAAAAGAGTTGCTTTTCTTATTAATTTATGTTTTAATTATTTTTTCACTCTGTTTGGAATCAACATAATATAGAATTACATGTTTTAGGTAGAAATAAATCATTTAGAATTTTGGCCGGTAAAAGATATGCTTGGCCGGTAGATTTTCATCATCTACCAGGCAGCCAACTTAGCCGGTGAGTAAAAAATTTAATTTCGGACCCTGAACATAAGCAAGCATAAAACAAACAAACAAACAAAAAAAACTGTATCATACTACAAACGTCAGTCTGCTGCTTTCAATATAACTGGTACAGGACTGAGCCAGTGTGAGTTTACCTCCTAGCAGCATTTTCAATGCCTTCCCCAGGTTGAACTTTTCCCCCGAACCCGTTCCACTTTCCAGCCCCGAAGCCCCTCTTCTTCATGCCCAGCAGCACTCTGCTCGGCTGGACCACCAGAACCAGCGTCAGCAGCTTGGAGCTCAACATGACCTCACCTGAAAAAGAGGAGGAGTCACACTGTCTCCGGCGACACAACTGGTCTGTTCAGCGGAGGGATGCTTTATCGAGAAAATATGCAGGTAAATGCTGAACCATGCCAGATGAAGGAAGTAACTTGTGGAATCAAAAACGCACACCTCGCGTTGAAAATGAGACTCCCGCGTGCATTATGAAGACGTCATCACAAGATGAATGCCTTATACAACACCTGGGTCGGTGAAATTAGCGCGAGAGTCCGAAGAAGTCTTCCGTCAGGGGTGTGTAAGATCTGCAAAAGTAAAAGTAGTGTTACATTAGAATGTGTTCGGCTAGAAACTTAAGCAATGTAGTCTTTGGATCTGCACTGGAGAAGTGATGAATGAAGAATGCTATAATAATAATAATAATAATAATAATAATAATAATAATAATAATAATAATAATAATAAAACATTGAAATATTTTAAGGGAAAGCAAGTCAGTTTATGTACAGAGGCAATTTAACGTGCTTAATGCCCGTTTACAAGAGTTTTGAAGAAAAACAAAATACAAACTACAACATGGGACTAATGTTATAGTAAAATAAGAATTTAAAGGCAATTCAATCTCACCTAAAAACAAACCAGTTGTTAATAGTTAACACATATTTAGCAATATTAAAAGAACAGTTAAAATAAGTTTAATATGGAGTAAAAAAAAACTGCTTTTCCACGGCCTCGACCGAACCTACAAAGTCGTGATTTACGAGTAGATAGATGAAGATTAGCGCTTCGGATTCTGATAGGAACTATTGTTGTGGTGACGTGTTTCAAACTATGCGGACCTAAATAGTTGTAACACCGTGAGTCGTCCTTTACGCAAGCGTGGTTGGTATATTGTGCACGATATTTGAAACCAATGTGGACTTTGTGTTTACAGAAAAGGTGTTTTCACTCCTCGGTGAGTTTAATGAAAACGCTAAAGAAGAAAAGTCCAGCGGAACAGCGCTGGCTGCTGCGGCAGCTAAAAGACCCGTATGTTAAAGCTTCTCACAAACAGAACTTCCGGTGCAGAAGCGCCTTCAAGCTGCTGGAGATAGATGACAAGTTCGGACTTTTCCAGGCGGGTTACAGTGTGGTGGACTGCGGTGCAGCACCCGGAGCCTGGAGCCAGGTGGCGGTGCAGAGGGTCAACTCCACCGGGACAGGTGAGCGCCACACCCATATTTAGGTGGCATGAGCGTTTATGTGGTGATGATGCCACTCCTGAAAACCAATCATATGTTGCTCCAAACGCTCCAAAGTATAGGTACGTCTATTTTTGTCTGATAAAAGTTTATGTACTTGCAAACTGTTCACTTCCTGTCATGTTTGTAATCCTGGATCTCTCTTTGGTGAAACATGTTCAGCCTTCTATATGACATTTAAATTAAATGTCATATAGAAGGCTTAAATTAAATGATTTAATTCTAAAATTCAAGGCATTTAATTACCAATATATAATCTTCTTAATATTTGAAATAATCTTTTCCAGTTTGAGATGCACCAATTTAGGATTGTGGGCCAATAATGATATTTGATCCGTCTTCATTTCTGATCTGCCAGGTTTGTCTAAATCAAAATGATCTCAAAAGGCC